TCTGTATTTCCATCTAAGAATCATACAAAACTTAACACACACACTGGAATTATGCACTATTTATGAGTGAAAATTTCAGTATTTTTTATCACACAAGTGAAATGATGACAAATAAATTATATAATTACAGTAAAGAAATATAGAGCTAGTCTTTTAATTCTTGGCTGGGTCCATTTGAACATCATAATAGGATTTGAGCCCTTGAATTCACAGCTAAACATAGAGAATAATATTTCTGACATAAATAATTTGAACTAGTCAATGACTAGTATGCAAATAATAAAATATAATAATTTCATACAATATGTATAATAATATAAATTTTTATACTGTGTGCTTAATGAATGTTTACTTTTATTAATTAGAAAAAAAAAATCCGTCAAAATTATTAGAAAGATCATTTAAGAGGCCAAAAGATGGAATCTAGAGTAACATAGTTTCATCAATGGAAACACCCTTATTTTTTATATATATTTTTTTCCCTAGTTGATACTGATTTCATGAGGTCAGGTTTGGCTGTTTTAGCAACAAGAATAAAACTCTAGCTCTAGGAGTTGTTTCGGCAGGCACTCACATAAATTGGCTGTGGGCTTTCAAATTTGTGAGATGGTCTATGCTCCAACTGGTATCCTCTTTTAGTGGTAAATTAGGAGGATCTTATCATCTTAAGGAATGAATATAACGGTTGTTACCCCATCGTCAATCCAAAAAAAAAGGTATGTTTTTTTAAGATGGGAACCTTATTCAGTGCCTCTGTAGGTCTGTTTATCTTGGGGGTTGGCATATCAAGTTCAAATTCAAGCATACAGTAGATTATTTTTGCTGCCCAAATCATCGTTTCTCATATTTTTGGGTTTTGATTTGTCAAATACTCTTATGTCCTATTCTGTGTGGAACTGCACACAGAACTCACACATAAAATTTTACAGTCGTCAATTGGCTGAGTGTGAGAGAGAGAGAGAGAGGCATACCTTATGCGTAGAGAAATGGCAACAATACCGGTGATGCAAAGTGATCAACGACAGAGTCCCAGACTAGACACGTTTGTTTGCATAATCGTTATAGATGAAACAAAGTGCGAGCAACATCCAACAGGTGGCGATGCTTTCGCTCAGCAACACCATTCTGTTGAGAAGTGTGAGCTAGTCTGATGAATAATACCACGATCAGCACACAAGGAATCCATGATAGACTCTGTATACTCCAAGGCATTATCAGATTGAATTTTTTTAATGCGCTTACCAAACTGAGTTAGAATTTCATTGTAAATTTAGCAACAATAAGAGGTAACTCAGATCTCTCTTTCATAAAAAATAACCAAGTCATTCGAGAATAATCATCAACAAAGATAACAAAATAAAGGAATCCATTCAAACCAGCGATTTTAGAAGGACCCCAGATGTCCGTGTGGACTAAGTCAAAGGACTTGGCCTCACATCTATGACTACGACTCGGGAAAGAACTACGATGATGCTTACCCAACTGACAAGCTTCACACTCTAGAACAGAGATATGACTCAACGTAGGAATAGCTAATCGTAACTTTGCTAAAGATGGATGACCCAAACGAAAGTGCCACTGAAGAGGAGAGACTGTAGCACTCAAAGCTGATGACAAGACAGGCTGGGGTTTACCAGGGTCAAGATAATATAACCCGCCTTTCTCATGTCCCGAACCAATCACCTTCTTTGTCCTAAGGTCTTGAAAGACACATGAAGTGGGAGAAAAAGTTATGGAACAGTTTAATGTTTTAGTCAATTGACTGACAGAAAGTAAATTAAAAGGAAAATTAGGAACACAGAGACTCGAAGATAGTGATAACGAATCGGAAGGGTGAAGGACACCTTTTCCAAAGACAGGTTGAGAAGAACCGTCAGCTAAAACAATGTGATGGTTAATAGGATTTAAATCAGAGAAAAGAGATGATGTGCCCGACATATGTGAGCTTGCTCCAGAGTCAATGACCCAGGATCGAGAGGATTTAGCCTTACATGCAATATTGTCTGAATTAGCCAAGGTAGCAGTGGAAGTGGGTGAACGGGTAGTTTGCAAAGTCTGAATAAGCTTGCTAAGTTGTGTGATAAGTGCATCATGAAAACTAAAATCAGAAGCTACATGTCCTGAAACATAAAGCTGCAATGGTTTACACTTCCTGTCATGTCGTCCACTAGGATGGCCACCACCACGGGAACCACAAGAACCAGCCCGAAAATAAGATTGTTGTTTATGGTCAGCTATGGACAAAATTTGGACAAAAAAAGGGATAAATCAGAATTCCAAAGTCAAAAAATTGCAGGTCCAAGTCCAAATTGTGACAATTATAGGCCGAGTTTGTTGTAAACAATTGTGAACCAGACTAAAAACCTGCTGCCTTAGCAAAAGTACTGGTCCAGAATCAAATCAAAAGCCAACAATGAAGCTGAATTGCAATTCCACAGAAGAAATCTCAGAAGCAAAGGAAAACAGTGTATATTCAATTTCGGAACCACGGAAGACCTGTTTGACTAACCCTTAGAGCCACATAAATTGTTCCAGATTCAATACATAATCCAAGAATCAACAACTAAAGTCTTTCCAAGCTCAAACACATCAAATAAGATGAGCTTCACATGACCAATAGCAAAATCCCTATGATCAGTGCTGAAAAAAAAACACCCAAGCAGTCCAGATTTGATAAAAAAACTATGCAAACACCTTGAATCTTCCAATCAAACTGAACACAAAAAATCCAGATAGCCAAGATGCATCCCTCTGTGTTGGATTGAAGCAAAGGAAGTATTGAAGATTTAATGGAGGAAAATCTTTCGGTAATTGATGTTGTTTCCTATTATTGAAGATTTGGTGTTACTAGAGGAATCAGTGGAGAAAAATCCTCCTTGTTTCCTATTTTCTAATTCTTTCCATTCTCATAATTTCTTCTCCTATATAAAGGAGCCTCCACCATTGTATTATAAATGAATTGAGAGAGTATTATAAAAGTGATGTAGCCCTTTGGGCTCTTTGTGCCGTGGATGTAGGCCCTAGTGGCTAAACCACATAATATCTGTGTTCTACTTGTTTTATTTATCTCTTAGCTTCCATTTTATGCTTTACAACATGGTATCAGAGTCTAATTTCTCTTCCTAGGTTTGGACCCCTGTTTTGGGGTATTCCCTTAGCATCTGAAATGTTGCTAAGGGTTTCTCGGTGTTATTTTTGACTTGTTTGGGCTACTGGTTTGTTCGGCAGTAATGTTCTTCGTCTTTGCCGTCTCTCTGGCAGTATTTTTATTGACTTGTTTGGGCTGCCGGTGTGTTCAGTAGCATTGTCTTCATCTTTGCCGTATCTCCAACAGTTTTTATCATACTTGTTTGGGCTGCCGGTGTGTTCGGTAGCATTTTTTTTTTCCTAGTTGGTACTCATACACACTTGTCTCTTCTGAGGCTTGAACCTCTGACCTCCCTTTGGGAAGTGAGAAGCTAATACCGCTAGGCCACTGGCCCGTTGGTTGTGTTCGGTAGCGTTTTCCTCGCCTTTGCCATGTCTCTAGAAGTTTTTTGTTGATTTGTTTTGGCTGGCGGTGTGTTCAGTAGTATTGTTCTTCGCCTTCTCTCTTCTCTCTTCATCATTCAGAATTGTTGTTACTCGTCATCTTAATGGCAAGTTGGGCATTCATGCTCCAACTTGAAGGGGAGTATTGAAGATTTAATGGGGGAAAATCTTTTGGTAATTGATGTTGTTTCCTATTATTGAAGATTTGGTGTTACTAGAGGAATCAGTGGAGAAAAATCCTCCTTGTTTCCTATTTTCTAATTCTTTTTATTCTCATAATTTCTTCTCCTATATAAAGGAGCCTCCACCATTGTATTATATATGAATTGAGAGAGTATTATAAAAATGATATAGCCCTTTGGGCTCTTTGTGCCGTGGATGTAGGTCCTAGCGGCTGAACCACGTAATATCTATGTTCTACTTGTTTTATTTATCTCTTCGCTTCCGTTATATGCTTTACAACAGGAAGAAGCCAAAACCCCCCAGAAAAACAGATCTACAAAAATAGGCTAAAATCCAGAAAAAAGTTTTGAAAAATGGAAAGTCAACTCAAACAACCTCTGAATGGAGAACAAACACCACCATAATTATCAGAAAATTCAGGCGAGCCACCCCATATGGTTCTCGGCCTGTAAGTGCTGATGTCAGCATGTGCACTTTGACAGTCAATCTGATGATTTACTGAAACTCTCTTTGGATGGATTCACAGTCTTGCTCGGATACCAAGTTAAATTGGATAACAGTGTGTTTTAGGGTTAGAGAGAAGAATAAGAAGAAGAACAAGACAGAATCTGGTGTATGTCTACACACCACCTCTCCTATTTATATTAAGTAAGCAAAATTACAATAATGTCCTTAATAATCAAAATAAACTCAAACAGTTACCTATAATATTGAACCTTTACTTGGAATGCATTTTTGAAAAGCTATAATTTTTAGCTTCAAAAAGCTCTAGTGAGCTAAAATCTCTACTACCTAAATGCACTTGTTTTTTTCTTTTGATTTTATTTTATTTTTTATTTTTTTATTTTACCAAACACATCTAAATGAAACTTTTTAATAAGGTTGAACAGCAATCCCAAACGGGCTCCACATTGGATCCCTTCCTTTATCTCTATCTCTTGTTAGCTTGTTTTCCTTCCAGAAGTCCAAAAATAAAAAATAAAAATATTTATAAAATGGTTATTAACCTGTGTATAATGTGCTAACAAGTGCTTCACTCCGTACATCTTTTCAAAAAATGTTGGTAATTTAGTTTTTTGAATGGCATTTAAAAACTAAAATGAAGGGTGCAAATTTAAATGGTCTTGTTCACGTAATTATCTATTGTGAGATCTCCTCTTTGAAGCTGATTGACTGATTAGAGTTCCAATTAAGGAGCTGGTATTTATGCTTCAAATGTTTGGTCACAATCTTCATTTAATTTTGATATGCATTCTAAGATTGTTGTCCCTGTGGCTTTTTTGCAGATGGTGATAAACCATCGATAGGATCTCTTGATAATATGCATAGACTGGGACCTGCTGGTCTTTCATTACATTATGCAAATGTTATCATCCAGATTGACACAATTGTGAGTATATCATTCCTTTATTGTCAGATACCTCTTTGAGCAATTCTTTTTTATAAATATATTGCAATTTGTAGATTGAGTTCCTATCATTTCTCTTTGATTTGCAAGTTTTGTTCATAGATATTTACCATTGGGTCACTCTAAGTCTCAACATTGCTCTAAAATTGGTGGTGATTGATAAATTATATTGCCATTGTGAATATTTTTGCAATCATAAATATGATAGGTCTTTGTCTGTCTGTCTGTGTTTGTGTGTGCGTGTGTTTGGACTGTTGTGTAGGGATGTCTGCAGAGTGCCAATTTACAAAGATACTTTGGTGGAGATGTAATCATAACTCTGGTAGCTCCTTAGAAAATGTAGGTAAAATGATTCTTAAACTTACACTACATTAGTTTCTAATAACCTTTTAAGAATATTATTTGTAAATTGTCAAATTCCATTTCAAACTAAAGTTCTTGCAATAGTGTGTGTTGAAAAAAATGTAATTTTGAGTCCAAGTCTGTGAGTCCTTGACGGTCATCTTGCCTAGAAATTTCAAGCTCACAGTGAAAATTGAACAATGGAGATGAAATCTACATCAGAATAATTGCAGGCTATGCTCCATGGTGCTCAATCACACTTGGGAAAAAGTAACTGAAACCTTAGAAAGCTTAGGAGTTAAGTTGGTTATGGGTTAGATAGATTGGATTAACTCTGACATTGTGTTTGGGACTTAATTTGACTGATAAAGGTGTTTTGAAGCCAATTTAGAGGTTTAAATTGATTAAATCTTGATTTGGAATTGGAACAGGAACAATGGTGACATGGATTACTCCTATGGTTTTTTGTTCTGTGGGGTTGTCTATGTTAAAATCCAGTGTTTTCAATCCCTCTACTAGCCTTTTGATTTTTATGTTTTGTGGAATTTTATGTAATTGGTTAGGTGCATATTTCAAAATAGGTTTTAAATTGAAATTATTCACAAAAGAAGCAAGTAAAACCATTCATTCCTCTTCTAGGTCCGTGGGATTCATATAAATCAACTGCCATCAACACAACCACTTGCATTGGTGACTCTCCCATCCAACTGATAAGTAATATAATTTGGGTTCCTTTGCTTAGACTTCGGCATAGTTCCTATTCCTTTTGTTTCTTAAATGGAGAATCGAATTTTTGAAAAATTGTAAAGAAAGTTTTGTTGGTAAGTTGGAGATCCAAGATGTATGTCTGGAACGAGTCAAGCATACTTGTAGAGAAGCATACTTCATTTGTTTTGGAACTGTTTTTCATATATTAATTCATAGATTGTTTTTTGCTAGACATACCGTTGTATGGAAATTTAGGAAAAATAAATGTGGAAATATTTTACAAAATTTTTGGAGTTGGGCAGCATTATTGTCTTTTTGGCTCGCCTAGAAGTTGGTTGTTTGTTGAGCCAATGTTTCTAACCAAGGACACATGAAACATTTTGATGTTAACATATCAGTCAAGTTATTGAACTTAATGTCTACTTGAGTTTATGCAAAACTACATGCAAGCAACTCAAGTGAGCTTGTGGATCAATCACAAAAGCCAAGGAAGATCCAGGATTTAAAAATCTTATTCAAAGCTCAAAAGAAATTGAAGTTTGATAAAATCTTTCAACTCAAGGCACAAAAGACATCAAGATCAATATTGAAGACTTGGGTAGATAGTCTATGGTGAAAGCTAGAACTTATTGTAAAGTTATTTTTGAATAACTTGTTTTCAAAGCTCAAATCTAAGACAGTCTTGGGCCTTATTGCGTATCATTGATATTGGTCCGTAGACACTTAGAGATAGGATTTGAACTGAATTGCACATATTCTTAAAGTCCTAGATTGATGAGAAATGGAAATGAGCATTAGATGAATTTAGAAAGGTTAAAATCCCAAGATAGGCCAATTCAATCGATTCATATGATCGAGAGAGTTGCTTTACTGAAGCTTAATCTTGTCACTCGACTCATAATGTTGCAGCAGACGATTCATTCTAAATAGAGAGTGGCCATTACTGAGTTGCAAGTCAGTCAATTGATCCCAAAGGACCAGTTGACTGGTTCTTTCAAGAGAGTTGAAGACTCTGAGGACATGAAGAATTAGTCGAAATCATTTATATGGATCAGCAGACTTGTCTAGCCAAACCAGTCAACTACTCTTAACACCAGTCTACTGCATTTGTCAAATTTAATATCTAAGGTCTAGTTCTATTGTCGCTTCGCGTATTAAATGCTTCCAACAACTATATTTTTTAATGGGGCTTTTAAAATGTCCTTATATCAACATTTATGATTAAGAGACACGATTTGGGACCTCTATTGATTATCATTCATCAATACTCATAAACATTCATCCTAGATTAAGCTTTCAATTTGATTATTCAATCTTAATTCTAGAATTGTGAGCTTACACTTGTACAAATCTATCTATTGAGATATCATTGTTCTACAAAAGCTCAAATTTCATTAATTGTGAGTGATTAGGGTTGTTAATCCTTGAAAAGACCAAGTGAAGTGAATTACACTTGACAAGAGAGCTTAGGGATAAATTTGTAAAGGTTGGCCCTTCACTAGCAAGAAGGAGCAAGGTTTCTCTCTTCACCTGTAAACAAGAGAGTGTAAAGGTTTTCTTTCAACCCGTAAGGAAAGTCTCATAGTGGACTTAGGAGAATCCTCAAGTGGGCATCTTGAGGCAAGGACGTAGGCTAGAGTGTTGAACCTCGTTATATCGCGGAGTTTGATTTTCTTTATCTGTTAATGTTTGATACCTTAAAGACTCATTTTTGGGAAAATCTTACTGTTGAAAGAGAGAGAGAATATATGAAAACATATATCTTATTGAGTACGTAATACAATAATACAATGGTGTTTATATTGGATAAGTTACAGGAGTAGGTGAGTGGAGAACAAGTAAATTGGTAGTGCGATATATGGTAATGAGGGGTAGGTGAAGGTGGCTACAGAATACAGAAAATGCTAGTAAACCCTAGTCTAACTATACAAGTGTGACAACTCATAGAATACTGTACAACACTCCCCCTCAAGTTGGAGAGTAAATGTCAATAACTCCCAGCTTGCTACACATGGAATCAATAGAGTTCTTGGGAAGCACCTTAGTGAATACTGTAAAACACTCCCCCTCAAGTTGGAGAGTAAATTTCAACAACTCCCAGCTTGCTACATATGGAATCAATAGAGTTCTTGGGAAGCGCCTTAGTGAATATGTCGGCAGAAGGAACAAAAGGTGTAACAATCTCATTCGAGTCAACTTTAGATCGAATGAAATGGTAATCTACTTCAATGTGTTTAGTCATCTCATGGTAGATTGGATTGCTAGCAATATGAATATCTACCTGATTGTCACAATGGATAGGAATTGGGTACTGGACTGAAATCTTAAGTTCCTGTAAAAAAAGTCTTCAACCAAGTAAGTTCACAGGAAGTGTGCGCTATGGCACGCTACTCTGCTTCAGCATTGGAACGAGCAACAACTGATTGTTTCTTACTCCTCTAAGGTACTAGATTTCCTCCTATGAAGGTGCAGTAACCCATGGTGGACCCTTGATCAGAAGGAGAACCAGCCCAATCTGCATCTGTGTATCCCTCAATCCGAATATGTCCAGTAGATTAATAAAGTATACCACATCCCCGAGTACCTTTGAGATACTTGAAGATACGTATAAATGCCTCCATGCGGGGTACCCGAGGATTGGTCATGAACTGGCTCAACTGCATAGGAGATGTCTAGATGAGTGATTGTGAGGAAATAAGTTTACCCACAAGTCTCCGATACAACTCTAGATCACCGAGTGGGTCACCATCATCCACCTTAAGTTTTACATTAGTCTCCATGGGTGTAGCTGCAGGTTTCGAACCAAGCTATCCAGTATCCATTAAGAGGTCAAGAGTATACTTCCGCTAAGAGAGACTAATGCCTTGCTTCGACCGAGCTACATCAATTCTTAGAAAACCGAAGTTTGCTCAAATCCTTAGTAAGGTAGAACTCAAGTGATGTATTAAAACTTGTATTCCATCTCTTTCACTGCCGATGATAAGGAGATCATCTACATACACCACAACAATCACAATACCTCATTTCATTTTCTTTTTTTTTTAAAAAAAAAAGAGTGATTAACCTGGCTTCTGGTCGTACCATGAGCTACCAATGCTTTACTACTTATCAAACCACGAGGGGACTGTTTAAGCCCATAAATAAACTTCTTGAGATGACACACACACTCCCCCTTAGACTCAAACCCAGGTAGGTGGTTGAGCCATATAGACTGTCTCAATAAGGTAACCGTACAGAAAGACATTTTTAACATCAAGTTGATGAAGTGGTTAATCTAGATTAGTTGCAAGAGAGATTATCACATGAACATAATTTAGTTTGGCCACAAGAGAGAACGTCTCAGTATAATCAAGGCAATAAGTTTAAATGTAGCCTTTAGCAACAAGTCGAGCTTTGAGTCGGTTAACAGTACCATCAAGCTTTTGTTTGACATTGAAAACCTAATGAAAACTAACAACCTGAGTATCAGCAGGCTTAGGAACAAGATCCCAAGTATGATTCAATTTTAAAGCGTTTATTTATTCTTCCATAGCTTTCCTCCACCCTGGGTGAGAAAGTGCCTCCCTGTAGGACTTAGGAAGAGCAATAGAGGATAACGATAAAGAAAAAGCTTGAAAGGAGGAGGACAATTTATCATATGATACAAAGTTAGAGAAAGGGTGGTAGAGAACAGTGGCAGCAGCCTTTTAAAGTATATAAAAGGCGTGGCAAGGAGGGTTCTAAGGCTTACGCCTAAATTTGGCACATGCTAGACGATGGGGTCCACTTGGAGTCTTGTATAATTAGGGGGTTTGGTCAAATTTCATTATATTGGTAATTGCGTTAATTATGGAAAATCTGCATTGTTTTGGTAAATTGCATTATTAGATTAAATTGCATCAATTAAGTTATTTGTTACTTTATTAAGTTAGAGTCAACTTTTGATTACCTCC